GATTTTATCAGCGCCCATGTAACACAACTTGAATATTCATGTATTTTTGATAAAGCTCCGATCGGCGTGTTGAGCTTTTATTCTTGTCGGCTTTTGCTTTTATCTGCATAGATCGTGCGCTTTCGTTAGCTTCTCTACTGTAAGAAAATGTTTTCAGTTCGTCTAAGAAATGCAGCTCCTTTCTTAAGCGCTGGTATTGCGGCTGGATCGGCAGTTTTGCTTGGATATCACGCTTGTTATGGCACAGGTAATGATACGAACTATGTTTTCGCTTTCACCGCTTATGTTTGTTTTGCGAGTATGAATGTTTTTTGCAGTAAACATAGTTAAACAGCTTAGTAAGACATAAATTGAGCGTTTTTGATCGAAAACAAACCAAAATAGACGCACTGTAGCAAGCTTAATTGACTGTAATTTGCATGTGCTTAAATAATCAAATCGTTCACGCGTTTTCTTTACCAGACAATTGTGCACAAGCAAAAGCATTTTATTAGCATGTCTGCTTTAGCTCATGCATGAAATTTCAAATTGTACGTTAAAAATAAAATTTTAATTTCGTTCCTTCAATCGTAGTATATGTATTTTTACCTAATCGTGTGTGCCTTAATAAAGAAAGCGTAGCGTGACTCTGTTGACACTTAGCGCCGGAGTAAGGAACACCTTGTTCTGACAGTAGTCTATGTCACGCAAACGGGCCGACTTCTTTCAGTCGTATATAACTTAAGTTTGTCATATAACTAACTCTTCTACATGACTTCATACGTTTTATGTCTTTCCACTATTCGACGAACTGCCATTACCTAAATCTTTGATTAACTTTGTCTTTCATTTAACTGAACACGTGCTTCGATTATACTGAAGTGCAAATGGCAAAGTCGAACTGCTTTCCAATATGAGCAACAACGAATTCTGTGTTTTCTGAACCACTGTGTTTCGCTAAGAGCGATTTCCTTAACAAGCGCACGACTGTATCCCTCAGTTTGGAATTGTATGGTGTTGTTTACAATTTTATAATATCAAATACTCAATTTTAATTACCATATTTCTTTACCTTTACCTGATAGATTGATTTTCTCAGTAGTGTCAATGATATTTTTTCCTTCTAATTCAAAAGCTGTCCATGCTCGAGATGAAAACGTTAAAAGTCTAAAGGACACC